GTCATTGGTCTATGCTGGAGTACATCATCTTCTTCCTCTTTCTTACTTCTTCTTCTTCTTCTTTCCCTCTCTCTCCTCTCAAGTTCATTCATTTCTTTTTGCAATTGGACGGCATTGTACTTCCTGATGTTGGTATACTTCGAAATTGGCCAGGATCTTAACACTATATTGACAGGCCTTCTATCCAGGTGAAACCCATCACTGGATTGATGAACGAAATAAGTGAGAGCTTCCAAATCGATAACACGAGGATAGGAGTGGAGATGAACGAATTCAACAAAACAACTCACCTTAACCTGTCTTCTACGTAGTCCATCTTTGTCCCAACAATATGCATTAGAGCCCTCGGATCGATCAGCACCTTCACACCTTTGTCCTCCACCTCTTCGTCGAATTTTCCCTTTTCATCTGATTCGCACATAAAGCCCATCCAGTTGTGTCCCATTAGTCTTAAATGTCTCCGAAGCACGACTATTCAATTGAGAGCAGTAGTGACATTTATGACATTTACTCCAGCCATTTCACTGCTCTATTCTGCATGAATAGTAGTGGTAATAGTAGTAATAGTAGTAATAGTAGTAATAGTAGTAGTAATAGTAGTAATAGTAGTAGTAATAGTAGTAGTAATAGTAGTAGTAATAGTAACAGTGGTAATAATAGTAATAGTAACAGTGGCAGTAATAGTAACAGTGGTAATGATAGTACCAGTGGTAGTAATAGTAGTAATAGTAACAGTGGTAGTAATAGTAGTAATAGACGTAGAAACGGTAGAAAAATAGTGGTAGTGGTGGTAGCAGGAAAACTGGAGGAGGTGGAAGGGGGACATTCTCCCAAGGATAACCCAAGCACAGGCATCAGAGAGGCGGTTAACACCTTCTCATGACATTTATAACAAAACCCAAGGGCCGTTTTAACCAAACGTGCCACCAACTTCATAGAGTGGAGATCGTACAAACTACTTGCATGAAAAAAAAAAAAAAAGGAAAGAAAAAAACACTAAAAAAACCTACAAAACAGCAAGGCAAAAGTGCACTTGCATGAAATTTCACCAACATTCCAATTTCACAAATCTTGAGAAATTTCAGAAATCCCAGGCGAGGAAATTACAATGCCCCAAATGGTACCAAATTTGGCACAGAGCAACCTTGAACCAAAAACATGAAAAATTTGACCCCCAAACCCTAATTTCAGTTTTCAACCCGTTACTCAGGACCTGAAAATAAGGGTCCCCGTTAACCACTTGTGCGGCATCACGAATGAACTGAAACCCACCAGTCCAGTGGACGAGGGCCGATACTTTTGCTCGTGCACACAAGAAGACAGTGGGCTGGACCAGTAGAGATGTGGTAGCCTCCTTGTAAAAGACTGTGCTGCTAACAACCAAGCGTCAGATCCCAATAACAACGACTGGAGTCTACTGCCACCCCCTTCTTTTACTGGAGCCGCCAACCTTCTGTAAGGTTCAAGAGTACCAAGGGCGATGGGAAAAGAGGTTGGGCAAATAGGCCCACCCGGATTTGTAGTCGAAGGCACAGCAATTGGGGGCAAAGGCAGCASCAMGAAKGAAGWATGAGSKCCWGCCMCMKTKA